GACAGGAAGAATACTTGAGGAACGCCGGAATGCATTGCAAAGGGATATTATTGAAGCCTAGGTTTGCATTAAGGATTGGGATCGGGCCGATCAACGTCCACAGGATACAATTTCGCCGGCAAACCAAGAATGGAATTTAATCGATTAACATTTAATTTTGAAGACGATCCTTCAGCTTCAAATTAAATTGTAAATTTGTAATTTATAAATATGTATGTACTTTTGACATTGAATTTGTAATTGTATAACTTTGTAAGTTTGTAAAATTTATAATTCGTCACAAAATGATTGCACTCTTTTTTCCTTGACAAGTTTTTATCCTAATTGAGTTTTTCTTAGTAAGGTTTTTAACGAGACAATCATGAATTACGAATTTAATATACATCATTAATATACATGATTAATTTATTCAATTGTGTTAATAATATCTGTTGAATGTTAATTTTGATTTTTATATAATTTTAACACAAACTAACTTAATAATTATAAAAATTAAAAAATATTTAAAAAAATTCAGGCTATTCGGACGGGCTCGGGCGGCCCGGTCGGGTTCAGGCAGCCAAATATAAGCCCGCGGCCCGTTCAAGGGCATTTTCGGGCTCGGGCGGGCAGCCAAAATTTTTCGGGCGGGTCGGACTCAAGCTCGGGTAAAAACTCAGTATTTTCGGGCGATCGCGGGCGACCCGTCCAAAGTTCCAGCACTACTCCAAAGTCGTCTATCTAATCAGAAGCAACCTCCAAAATGTCTGACCCTCCCCACTATAAATGGGGCCTTTCCCTTCTCCAACAAGGCATGAAAAAGGTCCTTTTTTTTCCCTCTACTCTTTTCCTTAGACTTTACACTTCCAGGTCTCATAAAGATGATCGTCACACTTATCATCTCTCACCAACAGACTAAAAGCCTTGTCCATTTCCAAGTTTGAGCTGTAAGTTTCCAGGTTCAATGTCATTTCTTGAAGTTCTAAGAAACTTAAGATCTTCATCTAGACCAATTTTTAGAAATTATCCAAAGTTCATCTTTGGAATTGTTTGTGTTCATCTGGACCATTTTCAAATCTGCTTCAAGTTCGGTCAACCCGTGTTTGTGTCTGAAGTACTCTTGAGCTGTCCCTGGAGAAAGGTCGACGACGATTTCAAGTCCATTTTCCTCTTGCACAAAATGACCAGCCGTTCTCCATCAACCTGTAATTTATTCCTCCCCCCATCTACGGGCTTACTTGTTTCCTTTGATCGTTCTCTTGAGCTTTGCAGATTATTTCTTGACGTTTTGGCAAGAAAGAAGGTCCTGAGAACTGCTCTATCTAGATCGTCTTTTGTCGTCCTCTACGAATCTGCTCTCTCTGACCATGTAGGAATTGCTGCCAACCAAGAGGCTATCATGTTCGCTACCCCGACACGTCGTACCTATCAATCTTCGGGACTCTAATGTTCAAATCACTATACTCAATGAGCTTTACAAGTTTTTATCGCAACTCCCTAGAAGGGAGGAAAAACAAAATTAAACAAACTTATACAATAAATCACCCAAACTTTAATTTTGTTGTCAATAAGCCACTATAGCGTTAATTAGATATTAATATTCTCCTTGTCCGTCCATTCTTCTACCATACCGAATAATGTGGCAGATTGTTGTGATGCAACGTAAGATTTATACTACAAAACCAGCAGAAAGACCCTTGTGATTGTAGTGGGAGCCCAAATATGCCACCTGGTTAAACAAATTGTAAAAAAAGTGCAAGAAATTTTATGGTAATGAACTTAATTACAGTAAATCTCACATATAATTAACTGAACTACATCGAATTTCATCTTTTAATTATGAGATAACAAAGAAAAAGCGATTATGAAATTCATGCATTCCTGGTTGAAACCCCAACACTACACTATCTAGCTCTGTACACAAATTAGTTAATGGAACTTTTTATACACAGAATATTTGGACTACATATAAGCTTACTGTCGCAAGATAGCATGGCTAAAGATCATGAGCTGATGGAATTGTCTGCGATTACTGTTAGAAGATTGAATTCACGTTCCAAACTCCACGAATACTCATCACGGTTGTTGATATTTAAGTTGTACTCTTGGAAGTACCCGTTGTATGTAACCATAGAAATGGTGGCCCTGGAAAATTCCATAAGTGAAAACCAGAGATTTAGTTGTTATTAACATATTAAACATTAAGTCCTTCAAAAGAAGCAAAATCTGAAATACTTATACGTGGATAATTGCTTCATATGCATTCGAAATTTCAGATGGCAAGTTACAGAATGGCACGGGGAGAGTATAATGGAATAAAGAATGTAAATAATTCTTTTGTGAGAAATGGGCGTGTTGAAGAACTCACCTACATGCGACAATCTCAGAAGTTGATGAGTCAGCAACCCTGTCAACCTTTCGAACAACTGCATAGCTGTAAGAGAAAACGTGATTTCATGAACTAATAGCTAATACATATGGAAACTACAGAAACATAGTACGGGTCTGAACCCAAATCACGCTCGAAACATAAGAAGCAAATACTCCGTACCAAAGAGTCAAGTCATTTGAAAAGCCAAATTGAGCTCAGATAAACTTATTTGATATTCACCTTTTCACTCCTGCGGGTGCAGCATTGTGAAGTACATCGTGATGGGCTGGATCCAATGCATCACTAACAGACTCGGGTATTATTGATCCCAAAATAATACTCGATCTTCTGCTTCTGAAAATTGAAATAGTAATTAAGATCAGATTTAACAAAATTTTCTTGCAAGTGTCAACAGGTTTATGACAAAATGGACCACGTGAATATTATAAGAAAATCACAGGTGAATCTTGAGAAGGCAGATACTTAAGTTTCTAAAACTCAAAAAGATATCCACAAATATTCAATTTTTCCATCATATCTAAATATATGTCCTCCGTCTCTGGTCAAATTTCCAAATACGACCAAATGTAAATTCTAAATCAGAGTAAATGCACTTAGAGATGCATATATGTATAGTAATCAACACAACTGCGGAGATGTACAAATGTACATGGATGTACAAATGTACATGGATGCACAAACGTGTGCATGCAGATGTACGTGCAACTGTCTGGTGTCAAAACTAGATTACTGTTAGAAGATTGAATTCACGTTCCAAACTCCACGAATACTCATCACGGTTGTTGATATTTAAGTTGTACTCTTGGAAGTATCCGTTGTATGTAACCATAGAAATGGTGGCCCTGGAAAATTCCAATAGTGAAAACCAGAGATTTAGTTGTTATTAACATATTAAACATTAAGGCCCCGTTCATTTCGTCGATTCGAGTTTAGAATTCGAGTTTTGCTACAGTAAAAAGCTCTCAGAAACAATCACATCTAACTTTTTTGCTACAGTAAAAAGCTCTCATACAAAATCACATCTCAACTCGAATTATAAACTCGAATCAGCGAAGTGAACGGACCATAAGTCCTTCAAAAAGAAGCAAAATCTGAAATACTTATACGTGGATAATTGCTTCATATGCATTCGAAATTTCAGATCGCAAGTTACAGAATGGCACGGGGAGAGTATAATGGAATAAAGAAAGTAAATAATTCTTTTGTGAGAAATGGGCGTGTTGAAGAACTCACCTACAAGCGACAATCTCAGAAGTTGATGAGTCAGCAACCCTGTCAACCTTTCGAACAACTGCATAGCTGTAAGAGAAAACGTGATTTCATGAACTAATAGCTAATACATATGGAAACTACAGAAACATAGTACGGGTCTGAACCCAAATCACGCTCGAAACATAAGAAGCAAATACTCCGTACCAAAGAGTCAAGTCATTTGAAAAGCCAAATTGAGCTCAGATAAACTTATTTGATATTCACCTTTTCACTCCTGCGGGTGCAGCATTGTGAAGTACATCGTGATGGGCTGGATCCAATGCATCACTAACAGACTCGGGTATTATTGATCCCAAAATAATACTCGATCTTCTGCTTCTGAAAATTGAAATAGTAATTAAGATCAGATTTAACAAAATTTTCTTGCAAGTGTCAACAGGTTTATGACAAAATGGACCACGTGAATATTATAAGAAAATCACAGGTGAATCTTGAGAAGGCAGATACTTAAGTTTCTAAAACTCAAAAAGATATCCACAAATATTCAATTTTTCCATCATATCTAAATATATGTCCTCCGTCTCTGGTCAAATTTCCAAATACGACCAAATGTAAATTCTAAATCAGAGTAAATGCACTTGGAGATGCATATATGTATAGTAATCAACACAACTAAGGAGATGTACAAATGTACATGGACGCACAAACGTGTGCATGCAGATGTACGTGCAACTGTCTGGTGTCAAAACTAAAATCTCAATTGCAGCCTTTTCCTGACAGAATAAATTTGCACCAATTCCTATTTTAACATGAAGATAGAGTCTTCTCACTAGATCCATAAGTCTGGTTACTTTCTTTCATTTTATTCTCTTCTGATGTGAAGATTGAGAAGCAGATTTTAGCGACCAAGTCAAATACAGTAATCCTTCAAAAATAGTTATTTGATATTACAAACTTTTGTTATCTTGATGCTTCTGGAAACTACCAGAAGGAAGATACATACATATATGTACACACACAGACTAAGGTAGTTTCCAGAATCAAACCTTAGCGCACACATGTGTGTGGATGTGTGAGACTATTGGAAATCAGTAGGCAGGTTTGTAAAAGTTGAAATAATTTGTTAGTCTCTCTAATATAGAAGTGCCAAGACAAGATGAGAAAAAAAGTAAAGAAAGAAAAATGACATTGGAAAAGAAAAGGAAAGGAAAAAGAGATTCTTTATAAACAGAAAGAAGAAGGAAAAAAAAAAGGAAGAAGAAGAAGAAGATACTGAATAAGACAAGAAATAAAGACAGATAACTTAGAGCAGAAAAAGGAATAAAGGGGGAAAAGGCTCTGGTCAATGTCTATTAGGGCAATATCATGAGGTATAAAGGAAAATAAGTCAAGTTAGACTGAGGACATGATCGAAAATCATCAAAAAAAAAAAATAGTCCAATTTTAGTTCTTACCTCTGACATAAAGCAAATCCAAGAGAGAATGCATGAACTGAACCTGAAGAACTTGTAGCCACCAGAATATCCGGCAGCTCCACAGATGGCGCAAATGACAACGAAAATATATTTGAAGGATATGTCCCTCTCCGAAAGCTATAAGACTGCTAACAAAAATTATGGTAGATCAGAAGATCTATTGTACTAATTTTCAAGTCTTGCTTGATATAGAGGAGATAAGAAAATCAGAGCAGATACTGTTATGAAACATAAATCATGTCAGAAGTTCTTGTATTATTGTTACATCTAAGAATTTAATTTCCCTGATACAAAATACACATGAACTCATGAATTCATAAATCCCGTCACAAGTTCTTGTAATACTGTTACATCTAGATTCAATAAATACCTTATGCAATAACAAAGACTTTGATACGAAAGAACCAAACTGGCGTTTGTTTTTGGAATTTATAAATGGAAGCTTCACAAAATGGTGGCTTTTTTGCCTCACTTTCATGCAGCATGAACTAGTAAGGTTGTCAAAACCAAGATTCCTCGAGCTCAAGACCATGTTATAATCGTATTGTTTTATTAGTATGATAAGTATTATAAGGTATTCCAAAAGCCCAAGAAAAATGTAGAGAGAACATTCCCATGCAGGATATGAGACCTAGTTAGCACATTATCCTGCACCTTAGTTACCTCAGCCATAACTCAAGTGCATGAAGAAACTACACGCTATAGGGTGCACGCAAGAACAAGCTATTCACATCCCTGTTGGTATCCAATCAATAAGCTTACATCTGTGAACCACGTCTAACTTATGTTGGTACTCATTAACTATATATAGTCTAAGCCTAATTCACAATTTCTAGAAAAACATCGAAATCGACAAGACAAACAAGTATGCAGATAGTTTAGAATGCTGATCTGAAAGGTCAAGAACACCCACACAAATTTGCTATGACTTTCAAAACCTAAACCTATTCCCTAATGACCAAAAGTTTAAAACAGTGATAATATAGGTCTGTTACATCTAAGAATTTAATTTCCCTGATACAAAATACACATGAACTCATGAATTCGTAAATCCCGTCACAAGTTCTTGTAATACTGTTACATCTAGATTCAATAAATACCTTATGCAATAACAAAGACTTTGATATGAAAGAACCAAACTGGCGTTTGTTTTTGGAATTTATAAATGGAAGCTTCACAAAATGGTGGCTTTTTTGCCTCACTTTCATGCAGCACGAACTAGTAAGGTTGTCAAAACCAAGATTCCTCGAGCTCAAGACCATGTTATAATCGTATGGTTTTATTAGTATGATAAGTATTATAAGGTATTCCAAAAGCCCAAGAAAAATGTAGAGAGAACATTCCCATGCAGGATATGAGACCTAGTTAGCACATTATCCTGCTCCTTAGTTACCTCAGCCATAACTCAAGTGTATGAAGAAACTACATGCTATAAGGTGCACGCAATAACAAGCTATTCACATCCCTGTTGGTATCCAATCAATAAGCTTACATCTGTGAACCACGTCTAACTTATGTTGGTACTCATTAACTATATATAGTCTAAGCCTAATTCACAATTTCTAGAAAAACATCGAAATTGACAAGACAAACAAGTATGCAGATAGTTTAGAATGCTGATCTGAAAGGTCAAGAACACCCACACAAATTTGCTATGACTTTCAAAAGCTAAACCTATTCCCTAATGACCAAAAGTTTAAAACAGTGATAATATAGGTAAACTCCACCATCAAGTATTGCAGAATCATATCCCTTCTCGTACTTCTAAATTTATGTCCATGGCATCATGCTTTAAGCAATAAAACATGAAAGCTGCCACAGACGCAGAAAGTTCCAAACATGATTCACAACCTTAGTTGCATCAGAAACTAGATGAACTCTGATTATGGTTCCCTGCTCAGAAGCTGTTGCTATGTACATCCCTTTTGAAGAAAGAACCATTGCAGCCACTGGAGAACGATGAGCATCTATCTGCAATTGATTAAACACAAATATCAAAACATGAATGCAAATGAACCACGTGACAGGAAGAATGATTTTCATTGTTGCGTATCTGACACTATGAACCTCCTTAACAGTTTGTAACAAAAGAACAATCCTCGGCTCACAAAGAAAAATTTAAATTTAGAAATGAAATAGCTAAATTTTTGAAGAAATTTTCATTCGTTCATGGAAGCCAAAAAAAAAAATGAGGTCATTTCAGGATTTCATCACTTTTTCTATCATTTGTGAGTAAGACCAATTTATGCCATAACCTCACAATGTGAATGCAGCTCCATAACATTGTACAACAGCACGGATCCTCTGGTAGTGCTAGCAGGAAGAGCAACGAAGCAACCATCCAAACTAGGGGAGAACGCACAAAGTCCTGGAGAAAAAAAAAAGGATCTATTGTGATATCCAAAAAACTTTTGGTTCAGTGTTCCTCCGGGAAAGTGTGAAGTTTAGGTAAACAAGCTTTTCAAAATATTGAGCTTGTTTACAACAAAATCAGTAGAATAGTACAATTAAAAAGCATATCTGAACAAGCACCTGACTTAGAAACTAAAAAATCAGAAATCGAATTTATTCAACTGGTAATGGTAAAGTATGAAAATTGTCTTGGGGTGCAGATACATTTCCAAAAGAAGGGGAAAAAGAAAATGGGTTTTTTTTTATATAACTGTGATGTTCAAGACTTTGCCCCGACAAATCCACGGGATCCATGCAAAACACCCCCTCCACATGGATCAGATAAATCTTGGGCCTTTGGCCCACGAACGTGGCCCTAAGGAATTGATAGCACTCAATGAGAATCGAACCTTAGACCTAATGCTTCTTGAGGCACTAAGTCCAAGTGATTCACCACTGAGCCAACTCCTTGGGGTTAAAAGAAAAGGGATTGTTGACAACCGCTCAGGTTGCATTTTAGAGTCCAATTTCAGATTTTTTTTCAAAAGGCATTAAAACAAATGTAGGACCGGAGTATATTGTATGGAACAAACATAAAGATACAGCAAATGGAAACTGACAACATAGCGGAATTGACTGTGCACGGTCTAATCAGTAGTGTCTCTTAGCAAATTATGTTTTATGGTATCTCCTACAATAATCAAATGAAATACCAATGCTAAAATGGCTACAAGAAGAAACGTACTTCAACCTCACCTTTTACATTTGGCACTGTGTCAATGGTGTCCAAGATTGCTAGACTATTAATGTCATATATATACGTCTTCTCTTGCAGAACGACAACAAGCCTACATGTGTAAGATTGTCTATGAATGTATTCAACAGAAAAGAAAAAAGTGCTCAAGTTTTTATGGTGGAAGAGCATGAGGTCTTTATGTTATTAGTATCATACTCTATCATTCAAGTGAGAAAAGTACGAGAAAAAGGGAAAACACCAAAAATACCACTCAAGATGGTAAAAAAAAATTATTTATGCCACTTCATTCAAAAATAAACAATTGCCATTCAATTATTAAGGAGAAAACAAAAGGGCACAATAGCACCGAATTATTTAGAATCGCATAAATACTAGATCAACACTAATCCATGGCAAACCATGTGAAAGCTGGAATATTGCCTTTTGTTTTCTATATTGAATCAATAATTCGGTACATTAGGGCTCCTAATTTATAATACAACTATGAAAATCAAATCTCCTAAAACTAAGGCCTAGAGATCAAGAAAGTGATCTGTTTAAATTAAATCAAATCAAGAAACATTCTATCCTGAATCGGGAACCTTATCCCTAGCAATAAATTCGGGATTTCAACACTCCCCCTCAAGTTGGATCATATATGTTAATCATTTCCAACTTGCTTAAGAAATCATCAAATTTTTGTCTTGCGAGCCCTTTGGTGAAGATGTCTACAACCTGATCTTGAGTAGGAACATAGGTCATGCAAATGATTCCCTTCTCCACCTTTTCTTTGATGAAGTGTCTATCCACTTTCACATGCTTGGTTCGGTCATGTTGGACTAGATTGAGTGATATATTGATTGCCGCCTTGTTATCACAGTACAATTTAACCGAGAATTCTACTGTAACTTGGAGTTCTTCTAGTAGTTTCCTCAGCCATAGTGCTTCACATATTCCTTGGGCAACTGCTCTAAATTCCGCTTCGGCACTGCTCCGAGCCACCACATTTTGTTTTTTGCTCCACCAAGTTACTAAATTCCCCCATACAAAAGTACAGTATCCAGAAGTAGATTTTCTATCTTCAATTGAACCTGCCCAATCTGCACCTGTATAGACTTATATCCCTCTGCAGTCAGTCTTCTTGAAAAATAATCCTCTGCCAGGTGATCCTTTGAGATACCTAAGTATCTTGTATACTGCCTCCAAGTGAGCTTCCTTTGGCGAATGCATGTGTTGGCTAGCCACACTAACTGCAAATGCAATATCAGGTCTAGTATGAGACAAGTATATTAGCTTTCCTACTAGTCTCTGAATCAACCCTTTATCAACCAACTTCCCATCGTCTACGATCTTCTTCCCTGCTTCAATCGAGGTGTCACTTGGTTTGCATCCTCCTGCACATTCTTTGGAATTTATGTACTGTTGAGATTAGAGACAAAGGCTCGGAAAACCGTACACAAGTTTTCTTTTGACACAAAACTTGGAGATGGGATGAAGTGTACATGATCGTGGCTTTTTTCTGTGAGCTATGGGAACATCAATATCAGGAATTTCAGGGGTATTAGAGATACCTTCTTCTGTGATGATCTCGGTCATACCTGGATCCGGGTTGGATTCTCTTGGTGCTTCGGAAGTGAGGTTGTCTTGATATTTTGACTTTGGCCTTCTTGAGTAGACAAGCAGCTCCCTATTCTTTTGCTTTCCCACATCTCCCCCTGAGTTCAAGTGTCCGTCTGTATATGGCATATTGGAATGAGAAGGAAAGGTGGTGGTGTTTTCGGTGTTTAGGATAGACTCAGAAAGAAGAAGTTCAAAGTCCACAAAACGATCTTCATTAGAGATCTCCCCCTGAAGAGAAGTTTTTTAGAAGAACGGAGTGCTTTCAAAGAAGGTAACATCAAGACTAACGAATACCCTTTTTGTGGAGGAGTCAAAGCATTTGTAGCCCTTCTGTGTAGGGGAATAGCCAATGAGGACCCACTTAGTAGCTCTAGGATCTAACTTACTTCGATTCTGAGAGTGGACGTGAACAAATGTGGTACAGCCAAACACCTTGAGGGGTATAGTTGAGGGTAGGCGTGAAGTGGGAAAGGCTTTCTTTAGACTATTGAGTGGAGTTTCAAAGGATAGGACCCGACTAGGTAAGATAGGCAGATGTTAAGACAACATCTCCCCAGAACATTTTAGGCATATGGGCAGTAAACATCAATGCTCGGGCAACCTCAAGCAATTGTTTATTTTTTCGTTCGGCTACTCCATTTTGTTGGGGAGTGTCGACACAGGAACTTTGGTGAATTATTCCATTTGCCATTAGAAAATCCCCTAAGATAGTGTTAAAATACTCCGTCCCATTATCTGTTCGCAAAATCTGAATTCGAGTTTGAAATTGCGTTTGAACCATGGAGTAAAAATTTTTGAACACTTCACGGACATTTGTTTTGTCTTTCAGAAGGTAGACCCAACAAGTTCTATTATGATCATCAATAAATGTGACAAACCATTTTGTGTGAGTACGAGTAGAAATACGAAAAGGACCCCATAGGTCACTGTGAATCATGGTAAATAGTTTTGAAGGTTTATACTTTGATTTTTTAAATGAAGTACGTTGATGCTTAGCAAACTGACAAATTTCACATTGAAAATCGGAAATATTTTTATTGGAACAAATAGAAGGAAACATATGTTTCATGTACTGAAAACTAGGATGACCCATTCTAAAATGCCATGACATAATTTCACTATTCCTAGAAGTAGATGCAGAATCATAAATTGCAGTTTAAAGCTATCCACTCACTTGAGCCTCATCAAAGTAGTAGAGTCCCTCATATTCTTTAGCACTGCCAATTATCCTCCCCGATGACAGGTCCTAAAAAACACAGTGAGAGGGAACAAATTTAGCAGAGCAATTGGAATCTTTCGTCAATTGGCTAATCGATAATATGCAAGACAAGTTTGGGACATGAAGGACGGATTCTAGGGTTACAGAATCGGAGATTTTTACTGTCCCTTTTCCTGCAACTATCGAGAGTGAACCATCTGTAATTTTTACTTTGATGTTGCCAGCACAGGGTGAGTATGTGGAAAAAATATGATAATTACTGGTCATATGATTAGACGCACCAGAATTGACAATCCACAGAATTATATTTTTGGAAGTAGTGCTCAGAGCCTTTAAAAAATTACCTCTGTGGGCTAGTGTACCAGAAGGTACATTATTTTGGAAGACTGACCAGTAGTAGATTGGAAGTTTGAGAACATCCTATAAAGTTGTTCCATATGCTCCTGATTGAATGAAGTCTTGGCTTGAGACTCACTACTGCTGGCATCCACCTTCCACTCCTTTTGATCATCAACCGAGGCTTGATATTCTCGATTCTTGCTCATCTGTCGTGGCTTCCAATCGAGTGGGTTTCCATGCAAATCCCAGCAAGTATCCTTGGTGTGACCGGTTTTATAACAGTGCTCACACTAGCGCTTTTTCCTTTTATTGGCTCTAGCCTAGTCCATTCGACGCCCTCCTAGTCAGCAGCGCAGAAGATTCTGGTCTAGAACCAATCGATCCAGAAGGGGCAGGGGTTTTCAGCATTACTTTGCGCCTATTTTCTTCTCGTCTCACCTCTGAGAACACTTCATGGATGGAAGGCAGCGGTCTCCGACCAAGGATCCTTCTTCTTACCTCATCTAGCTCACGGATGAGTCCAGCTAGAAACTCAAAAACTCTCGTTCTCCAGCCTTTTCTTGAATCACACACTATCGCCAGGGCATTCCCATTCTTCTTCATAACTCAGATCGAGTTCCTGCCAAAGAGCCTTCATCTTTGTGTAATATTCGGTGACTTCCCTCTCTTCTTGCTTCATAACTGAGTTTTTATTTCGAAGATTTGGGAAGAATTCTCCACATCTGAGTATGTTTCTCGGACGGCATCCCAGACTTCTTTTACGGTTGGTAGGAACATATAGGTTTTTCCGATTGAAGGCTTCATATAGTTAACCAGCCACGTGGTTACCATTGAATTTTTTGATTTCCACTTCTCCAGAGAAGCATCAGTGGAGGATATATCAGGAATTTCAGGGGTATTAGAGATACCTTCTTCTGTGATGATCTCGGTCATACCTGGATCCGGGTTGGATTCTCTTGGTGCTTCGGAAGTGAGGTTGTCTTGATATTTTGACTTTGGCCTTCTTGAGTAGACAAGCAGCTCCCTATTCTTTTGCTTTCCCACATCTCCCCCTGAGTTCAAGTGTCCGTCTGTATATGGCATATTGGAATGAGAAGGAAAGGTGGTGGTGTTTTCGGTGTTTAGGATAGACTCAGAAAGAAGAAGTTCAAAGTCCACAAAACGATCTTCATTAGAGATCTCCCCCTGAAGAGAAGTTTTTTAGAAGAACGGAGTGCTTTCAAAGAAGGTAACATCAAGACTAACGAATACCCTTTTTGTGGAGGGGTCAAAGCATTTGTAGCCCTTCTGTGTAGGGGAATAGCCAATGAGGACCCACTTAGTAGCTCTAGGATCTAACTTACTTCGATTCTGAGAGTGGACGTGAACAAATGTGGTACAGCCAAACACCTTGAGGGGTATAGTTGAGGGTAGGCGTGAAGTGGGAAAGGCTTTCTTTAGAGTATTGAGTGGAGTTTCAAAGGATAGGACTCGACTAGGCATCCTATTGATAAGATAGGAAGATGTTAAGATAGCATCTCCCCAGAACATTTTAGGCATATGAGCAGTAAACATCAATGCTCGGGCAACCTTAAGTAAGTGTTTATTTTTCCGTTCGGCTACTCCATTTTGTTAGGCAGTGTCGACACGGGAACTTTGGTGAATTATTCCATTTGCCATTAGAAAATCCCCTAAGATAGTGTTAAAATACTCCGTCCCATTATCTGTTCGCAAAATCTGAATTCGAGTTTGAAATTGCGTTTGAACCATGGAGTAAAAATTTTTGAACACTTCACGGACATTTGTTTTGTCTTTCAGAAGGTAGACCCAACAAGTTCTATTATGATCATCAATAAATGTGACAAACCATTTTGTGTGAGTACGAGTAGAAATACGAAAAGGACCCCATAGGTCACTGTGAATCATGGTAAATAGTTTTGAAGGTTTATACTTTG